CGCTATCTGTGACCACTTAAACAAAAATGATTCAAAACCAAAAAGAAACCAGGGGTGCTTTTTGTATAGTTGTTGCTTTGTCTTCCCTCCTCAACAATCCTGCAGGATCGATACCTGATAAAGAACATGTGCCTGCTAGCACCACCCGCCAAACTGCCGTACCTATCCCAGGCCTGGAAAGAGAAGGTGATATTTCCACTGTGAAATCCGATCCAGGGGAGGGGATGTCATGGCCCAGTAACAGCTGAGCAACACACAGGTAACAGCAGACAACGGCCGAAGCCATCTGCCACCTCTGATCAGCCAGGCGGCGTGCTCGTGTGGACAGGCCGGTGCTCTGGTGCAGGGGCAGCCTCAGGGCCACTGACCCACGTGGCGTACAGGGGACGCTGCGATCACAACGATCTGCTCAAGTGAGTTCAAAACAAAAGCTTATAAACACTTGAGACTAAGCTTTTATCAACTCTGCAGCTTTAATAGGTTTCACTGCAGCGAGGTCACCGACTGACACTGCACTATAGTATGAATAAGTCACAAAGTCATGCTTCTGCCAAACTAATGGTGACATGAGGAGCAAAACCAATGTCAAAGGAAACAGGGAATCCATGTTACTTTATTTCAGCCACGTTAAACTTCTCATTATGATATTTGGTTGTCTGTGCAGCAGATACAGATAGAAAACAATCAGGTTTGGAGAAGGAAATCAGGAGGACCCTGGCTTGCATGCATGCAGCATTAGAATAACAGGCAAAGCAGAAAGTTCTGACAACTTCAGCCACTGCCAAGGTGAAAAGATGAGGGAAAAACAAGGTGAAAAGGTCAAAACTCCAGCAACACTCACAAGACCAACACGTTTCAGCCTGTGGCCTTTGTCACAGGTTGTTGTTGTATTTGAAAAACAAACATGCAAATGGCACAAAAAGTACAGAAAGATGTAAAGCTCATGTGGTTATTGTTCAGGGCCAGCGAGCCAGAGAGGAGGGAGTGTGGGAAAGGGAGCAGAGCTGCAGAGGCTCGGCCGGACAGCGAGCAGCAGCAGAGCTGAAGTGGGCGGCAGGAAACAGGCACACAGACAATCTTTTTGCCATGGAAGAATGCTGAAGCCTGCTGACAGCTGAGACTTATCTAGCGACACAAAAGCCTGCTTGTAGCCCCGCTAGTGTACGCCACACCGCTGTGGTCTGCGATCCACCAGCTCACAGACAGAAAGCTGCTACAATAAATGTGTCGGCCCAACAGGCGGACCGGCTTCACTCGGACGGAGTGGGCAGGTGGGCAAACATCCAGAGAAAGAACCAGCACAGCAGCTAATCAGCACCACTGACTCAGCCCGTTCAGCAGATGCTGAGGCTCACTTTGAAAATCCAGTCTGTTGACGTACTCGTCCACATTCCCTCACATTGTCTGAGGTTCAACAACTGAGGACAAAGGCTAAGGACGTAACAGTGAAGAGAGTCCAAATGTGGAGGCCGGTTCTCAAGCAAAACCAGCAAGTACCAACTATTATCCCATCACTCCCATGGTGCTCTTTGTTACCTGTCTGCTGTGAAAATGTTCCCCATATCTGTGCCGGTTACAAGGGGGCACAGAGCAGAAGGGCCCCTTTAAAAAGTAAACTGAGCTATAGACTGAAAAATGCATGCGTGCTGAGTAAAGGCTTATAAAAGGAAATGGTGTGGACGGCCTCGGTGCTAGCAGACTCCAGCAGATTTATGATGATTGCACTATGATTCATATATGGCCACCGCATCCATCTCAGCAGAGAACACAGGCTATGGCGGCAGTAGATGTGGCCGAGTTCTGGGGGGTAAGTCAAACACACTGCGAACGGCTCAGACTGTGGGGGGGGTTCAAGCTAAATGGTTTTCCTGACAGAAAATCAACACAGTCAGACACATGCTTTCAATTTCTTTTATGCAAGGGGCCAATGAACAGTAGGAGCCATGACACTGTGGCATGGGAGAGGAGAATGAAGCATAACCCAGGAGGAAACGGGGCCACTGACAGATTTCTGACGTTTTCTTCCATTTTAGATCATATGCCCGTCACTCACCGTCTCACCCTTTGACTTCCTCGTACGCAAAGAACATACTGCACGTCTGAAAGTTCTGCACTAAACACAATGGGTGATTGACGTCACCTGAGCGTTGGTGATAACTGCACCGGAGTCTCTCAGGTGAGAACCAGCCCACATTCTATTACTGGAAAACATAATAAACTAAATAGGTCGAGATCACAACTAGAACGTCAGACAGCAGCTCCGTGTGCGGTGAAACTGGATTATGGGGGCAGTGGCTGTGCAGGGACAAAGACAGACCACCTCGACTGCTCTGATTCACTGTGCACGTCATCAAGGACTCGGGATGACAAGGTGACAAGGACGATCCCCGTTAGGCCGCATACGGGGCCAAATGTGTTTAGTTTTACACAGTGAGACCACAACAGAGGAGCGAGAGAGGTCAAACCATATCTGTGATCAAACAAGGCCCAGTAGTCAGAGCAGCACAAACAAACTGGGAGCAAAAGTTTTTATGTAGGAGGCCTGGTTTTAGCTGAGGGGCGAGGGAGAGAGAGAGAGAGGCGCCATGGGGAAGGAACCGATCTGTAGCCCAGAGGCACTAAGGTCAGGAGCGGAGGGAAAAGTCTGGCAGTAGCTAAAAGACAGCGACATGTGTCACTCATCCTCTGTGCAAATACGTGTGTGTGGTCAGAAGATATTCAGACGCCCTGTGACACATACCAAGTCTCTCTCTCTCACATGAGAGTGCGACAGACAGCTGGAAGTTAAGACTATACAAGCAGAAACTTGGAGCCGTGTCAGCCAGGGATGAAATTCAAACTGGGAGAATCAGGGAATCTGTGAGTTTTAAGGTTAATCATTGCTCAGAGTGCAAAGTAGAAACCATACAAAAACACAAACAACCTCTGCGGGGTCCAAGTCTAAGCCACTCACGTATATGAGTCCAGAGTAGTAGCGGTCCTTCAGGTTGTGCAGCACGGACGCCTCGTTCAGGCAGGTGAGCTCCGCCATGTCCTCCACCTTGCTGAACTTGGGCGGGTTCATCTTCTGGATGTCGTCCTTGTTGATCACCACCTTCTTACCGTTCTCCGCCAGCTCCACCAGCACCTCCTCGCCACGCTCCTCTCGGATGCTGGCCGCCTCAAAGCCATGGCGCTCTGAGGGGACCCACACCAGCTTCTTTGCTGTCCAGTCAGCCTGAGTGGCCGGGTTGTAAACCACGGCCCGGTCCACAAACAGGTACCGCTCCGGGTCCTCCTGGCCACTCCGATGAGACATCTTATCTGGGGTTTACCAGAGTAACGCGGCCACCTGGAACAGACAGGGTGTAAAGAGTGTGAGCTTACAGATGGACTGTAAAACGCCAGCTGAGAGCCCACAGCCCAGCCAGCCCTCTCTCCTGATCAGGACCGACCCGATTACAGTGTCAGTACGTTCTTATTTCCTGACTAACTGAGTGGAAATACAAACTGATTCATCAGCCGATGATCTGATTGATCTTTTTATTCCCAGAATATCAGACACTGGGAAAAGTCCCAATGTGACTTTCCAGCGTCTTCTTTCCTCAGCATCAATCTCTCTCTCTGTCTTCTAATGTCTTGATGTGTCCAACAAAGGCTGTTGGACACAATGAGGGAATCTGTTTTGGAACCATGACGTTTCCTGTCCATCAGAGTAGACTTGGCTGCTCTGGAGACACGGACCTAAACAAGTTGTTCACTTTATGATAGTTTGTCTTTTCCTGCTTCAACTATCAAAGTACGACACAAGACAGAAACACGGGGGTATTATCACTTGTCTACTAAAGGGGACATGCGTTAAAAACGGTCCACATATGAAACCAGGTTTTAGTGTCGGCCTGATACGCACATTGCGCAGATCCGACGGGACGCGGACAGTCTCGTCCCCGTTGTCGGTCCATAATCTCGCTTTAATTAAAACAACCCACTGGAAAACACCTTTAATCGTCCGGACAATATCCGCAACCTGCACTTGTGTAACCTCCACCTTTAGAGACAACACATACCGGAGGGAACTTGCTGCTCCTGTTTCTAATTATTAGACTAAAACCTGGTAACCAAATGTGTATGACATGGGAAATACCGTCGTACGGAGGTAAATGGTGCCACTACCGCCGTGAGGCCGACCGTTAGGTTTCACCGTGACCTCACAGGTTAAAAGAGGTCAGCCAGGTAACGTTAAACCGGGCTCCAAACGGAACAACGGCAGTGGGCACACCAAGTTTCCACAGCGACCTGGTCTTCCCCCGGTGGACCCCCCACTGACCTGGCGCAGAGAGCGAAGCAGCAGTCAGATCCTGTCCACCGAACAGTCCGAGCTCCCTGATACGACCCTGTGTGCAACTGGCGGCTACACACGATGGAACTGCAGGCATGTATGTGCGCTCCGCTATGCGCCTCAGGCACAGTGCTGCCTCCACTCTGGGGCCCCTCCTAAAGCTGCAGACTGGACCACGGCTGCTCCCGCCTACGATGGACCGTGCGCACATAGAAAGTGACGATGCAGAGCAACAGCCCGGTCCGGGGAGCGCCACCCGGAGGGAGACACGGTAACTTACGGCTTGTGTGTGTCTCTGTCCTTTAACTGGCCAATAAACGCAGTGAAAACCACTTGCAGAGAGTTTACAATGCGGTGCCCGCTGTCAAAGATCTATCCAGCACATATATATGCGTCCGCGCACACCCACTAGATGCAGCCTGCAGATAATTGGACTCTCCTCTGCACCGTCTCTCCATCATTGGCTGGAAGAAACCAACCCCCCAGTTTGCTGTAAACCAATCACCACAACTATTACACATCCTGGTACCTTGTGATACCTCCCAGGACTTCAGGTCCTGTGAGAAAAAGAAAAAACTAAATTAAATTAAATAAGGAAAGACTCCCATACTGTGTTAAACCATCATCCCAGTCCCTTGTGTCTAAAAGCCACTGTGCATCACCCACCACACACACACACAAGCTTTGATTTCACATGGCATTTTATTACAAATGGAAACATCTGAGGTGGACAGTCACGGCCTGTGGTCTAGAATTAAATAGTTGTTTGCTTCTACACTCAATGCTGCTGTCATCATAGAGGTTTACACAGAAAACAGGAGGTTATGTACAGAGTGTTCATGTTGGAAGCTTCAGCGTCCTCCCCTCCAGGCTCCTCCACCCTTCTTCTTCCCTCCTCCTCCTCCTCCTCCTCCTCCTCCTCTCACTTTCTTCCTCACGCCGCTTGCTTGTTCTGTGTCATCCTCGTCTCCACCGCCTCCTCTGGGCCGCTTCCTTTTCTCACCTTGCTCCTTCATTTCCTGAGCAAGATGAGAAAAATCCAAGAGTTTCAATATACACTCACCAGCCACTTTATTAGGGACACCTGTACAGCTGTATGCAATTCAATGCAACACTTCCACCTTAACATCTGTTTATGAAGCTCAACATGTTCCAGCTTTTGGAAATCTATAAACTCAATTCTATGTCTTTTAAGCTCAGAGTTAAAGGTGGACCACAGTATATTCAGAGGTGTTCCTAATATTCTGACCTCTCACGTATGTAGCTGAGGAGGACAAACTGTAGAGACACCTCGAAAACAGAACCAGCCCCCAGGGAACAGGAACCCCTGTTCAGCCACTGCTTTAAAACCCCCCCACAGCCTTGTGACACTTCATCTGTACACCCAGTTCCCCTTTGGCTCTCCCTGCTGCCCACATCCATCCACCCCCCATTGTTGGGTCAGAGGATCCGGTCTGACATTATGTGATGGGTCAAACTTACTGACGTGCTACCGACCCCATTTGTTTGAGATGGTAAACAAAATGTTAAAACGCTGCTGCACCTTCAGTCAGTTCCTAACAGTGTAGAACCTTGAACATGTCTGAAAGGAGGCAAGGCGAACACACAGTGTAACAAGTGTTAGTACGCAGCAGGAGAACATTTCAGCTTCAGCATGAGAAGGGAAAATAAACTCAGGCAACAGTAGCCAGTGAGTTTGCAAGGCTACAGGCGGTTTGTACGGCACCGACGAGAGCAGGCGGCAGGGGGCGGTGACAAAAGGCTGCTGTGAAGTCAGACTGTTTAGCAGCTTCACAGCCTGCACAGGAAGTCACAGAAACACTCACACCCCATTAGATCTGATCCTGACTTAATAAAGTCATCAAACCAAACCGTGCAGCTTGTTCTCAGGGTCCAATCTATGCTAATTTCCATGTTACTCAACATTTAGACAGGCAACACGGGATTTTACAGATGTAGCTTCTGAGCGTCACGTTGTTGATCTAACCCAATCAGCTCTCATACCAGGTGAGAGCCAGGTGTTGCCCTGCAGTGATCGACCTTACACAGATCTACCTCATCTGAAACGAGCCTATTGTGTCCCCAGGCAGTTTGTCCTGCCTGAGGTCAAAACCTTCAGTGAAGACGACCTACCATCCTGGCAAAGCGCTGGGCCTCGCTCACCCTCTCCACCAGCATCATCACTTCCTCTTCCTGAGTAGGGAAGGCGGGAAGTTTCTTTCCAATCAGAGTTTCGATTCGCTGGAAAAGCTCCACGTCATACCTGAAGTGAGGGGACGTGTTAGGACGGCAGTCAGGTCAGCATCACCCAGAGCAGCAGCAGCAGCACACAGGGTTTCATTAGGAAATAACAGCGTAGAGTCAGAGGATCCGGTCTGACATTATGTGATGGGTCAAACTTACTGAGTGACAAACGTGATGGACTTCCCCGACCGCCCTGCTCTGGCTGTTCGGCCGACTCTGTGGATGTAGTCCTGAGGACAGATAAACACCCATTGGCACCACATCAGTGAAACAGACGAGCAGTGTGAATGTCAGCTCCACGGTACCTTGGAGTGCGTGGGGATGTCGTAGTTGATGACACAGTCTACGTGAGGAATGTCCAGTCCTCTGGACGCCACATCAGTCGCCAGCAGCACAGACCGAGACTTGGACTTGAACTTGTTCAGTGCCCCGAGACGTTTATTCTGACCAGCAGAGGAAGAACACAGCTTTAAATACAGTCTGTATGTTTACAGTGACAGTTTACAAGCCAGATGTGGCATCTACGAGTATGTGTCTGCGCTGTTTGGGGCGCACCGGTGCACGGCTGACAAAAGAACTGACAGATGTAGTCTAAAATAAGCACAACGACAAACATAATCAGTTGATGTTTATTACTGTTACATAAATCATTTAACGCCTGCAGACTCCTACAGTATCTGTAGCTTTTTTATGTTGGATCAAAATGTGTGAACAGAGACAAACAGAACAAATAGATGCTTGTCCAACACTGCACATTATCGATGCTGATGTTTGATGCTGGGAGCTCAGAGGAAGCGTGTATATGTGAGAGACAGCCTGGGAGGTGAGAAGAGTATGTGTGAAGCTCTACCTGACTCATCTGGCCGTGCAGAGGGATGGCAGTGATGCCAAGGTTCCTTAGCAGCAGCGCCACCCTCTGGGCACTGTTACATGTGCTGCAGAAAATGATGAAGGAGTTCCCAGCCAGCTCGTTTAGGATGGACACCAGGTAACAGTCCTGCAACGAAGCGAACAAGCACAAGCTCCAGTATTATGTACCTACAGGAAACACCATCACACAGTCACTCTGGCACAGAATATATCCTCTGCAACACTGCAACGAGAAGTGAGGCTGCACGTCTCTGTGTGTCCCACCTTGTACTTGGATGGTATGAATATGTAATATTGCTGCAGTTTGTCTACTGTAGAGTATTTAGTAGACACAGCACATTTCACAGGATCTTTCAGAGCGGCTCTCTGTAGTTTCTGGACCTGTAAGTGAATCAAAGACAGTCAGTGCACAGCCAGTACAGTGCTCTTGTGCTGGCTTCTTAGCCTTCCTGTTAAAACTGCAGCATTAGCGACCAGTAGGACACAAAGCAACTGATGGGTCTTTGTCTACCTTCTTGGTCATGGTGGCAGAGAACAAGAACGTGTGTCTCTCCCTGGGAATCACCTTCAAGATTCTATCCACCTGTCAATAAGAGAAAATCAAACAAAAATGCTTCTGTGACTCAGGTTTCATTATTTTGCTCGTAGCGCTTCAGGGAATCTGTGCATACAAGTCATTCTGTTTCTTTACATTAAACAGAGGGGGACTGTGGTTCTGGATGAAAGGAAGACTTTTTCTTTTACCGACTACCCACCTCAGTCTCAAAGTCCATGTTGAGGATTCTGTCGGCTTCATCCATGACCAGGAACTTCAGAGCTCGCAGGGAGAAGCCCTTAGTGTTCTCCAGGTGGTCTATCAGCCGACCAGGTGTGGCTGGAAACACACGGAGGATTAAACAGCTGAATACAGAGAGTGCCAGAAAGAAGTGACAACTTGATGCTGGAGCTATGAGTGATTCATGAGAAAACACGTAGTGTAGTGAAGCTTCTAATTTTCATATTCACCATACAGTTTGTGATCTTTCCTATTCTAAATGTGCTGTAAGATCAAAATATTCATTTATTTCATGAGGACAAGCGGATAAACACACACACACACACACACACACACATGCAAAAGCCACAAACTGCTGGTTGCACTTGGGGTCTTACCAATAACAATGTGTGGCTTCTTAGCCAACACCAGGGACTGGGACATCATATCGATCCCTCCAACTACGACAGCTGCAACACAAGTTAGAAAGGTGTTGGGATCACAACCGCAGAGCGTCTTCTGCATCATCTCAAACTAGCGAACCTTAAATAGGTACATACCACACTTTACACCAATGCTGGATCCCAGGGCCTCGAACTGCTCTGAGATCTGAAATGCCAGCTCCCTGGTGGGCGTGAGGACAAGGGTGTGAAGCCTCCGGGGTGAGGCCAGCAGCGACTGCAGGATAGGCAGAGCGAAGGCGCCAGTCTTTCCTGAGCCAGTCTCTGCCAGGCCGATAATATCCCTCCCTGCCGTTCAAGAAGAAGAAGACAGATGGGAATGACAGTGAAGTAGGTTCTTAGGTACTTGTATGGCGCTTTACTTGAGAATCTCCATTTTGTTTTACCGTCTACCTAAAGACTTTGATACTTCCTCTGAACTCCAAATGCATTTTACAGGTTACTAGTTACTTTACTCATTAAAATTAAGCCTTACTAACAGATGCTTCAGATCCTAATGCTGGAAAAACATTCTACACACTGTTGACCACAAAAACCTACAAAACATATAAAATACAAAGCATTGTTAAAGCATTGTTATACAGTAAATTAAACCACTCACTGATATATGACATGGGCAGGATTAACTCTACAACAGCCAGCTACAACATTAAAATGCAGCCTGAACATTAAAGCATCAGCAACAATAATAAACCACTTTAGGAAAAACATGCAGGGTAAAGACTAACAAAAATGAGTCAAGATCATTTATGAACAATGGAAAACAAAGATATGAGATATGTTCAAATCAAACAGGAAGCCTGTACGACACTGAAGATACAGAGGAGTCAGATGTAAAGGCACTTCTGAAGATCAGCAACTGTGTCCTTGTGATGGTGATGCGGAGGACAAATTCCAGTTTTTATTACATTATGCCATGTAAGAAAGAAGAGGAGTTGAAGAATCAGCTGTCTGACTAAATCTGGTCAAAGATTCCTGATTTGTTTTGGCTGTCTGGCGGTTTGGGCAACTTAAACATACAGCTGCGTCCTTTGTAATGTTTTCTTCTTGTATTTGTGGAACTGTTTACTGGAGTTTGTCACGTGACCAGCCTGTTGTTGTCCACAAGCTGGGCACCCCGACGCAGGACATTTAAATAAACGAATAAATAAAGGAATGCTGGTCTGCAGAGAAGACCCACCAGCTGCACCCTTTAACGAAGGACAGTGCTGTCACCCACCTTGCAGGGCGACCGGTATGGCTTCTATCTGAATCTTTGTCGGGCTCTTCCATCCCAGCTGATCACACGCTTCACAGAGAACCTCAGTAACTCCCTGTCGGAGGCAAAGAAACCAGAGAGAGACCTTTGTAAGATGCTGGTAACGCTGTGCTATCAATTTATTCAGATGCCGGGAATATTTCACATGCTAACATTACTAGCTAAGTCAAATTGCTACGTTGCTGCTTGTATTCCTATAAAGTACATTGGTTTTCTGTCGATAGGAGACAAACTTACCAAATCCTTGAAGGTCTTCCCTGCCTCTTCATTTTCGCCGTCATTAATGTGACTGTTACCTTCATCACTAGTCGCACCTTCAATTAATTCATCGGTTTTTGGCTTCACGCTCTCTTCGTTGTCTGCCATGCTGTTTTCAGCCCAACGTGTCGTCAGCTCCGCAATGCGCCGATGCGGAAACGAGCTCAGGTCGCAATGGATGATGGGAACTGTTGTTTTTGATACATCTAGCCGTCCCTGGTAGGCTAGTGGTTAAGGCGCAGCGTCCCGGCTTCGAATCAGGGTTGCGTCATGAAGGGCATCCGGCGTAAAACACGTGCCAAATGTCAACATGTCAGTGTGATGGTTCTCTGTGGCTTCTTCCTAAACGGGGAAAGCCGAAGGTGACTTTGTTTGAGATACATCTAGCTCAACTCTAAGTTGAGAAATAATTGCTGTTCCCTCTTATACACAGCTTATGTCTTTTTTCATTTTTCTTGTATTTTAGTGGACTCATTTCATTTCAGTGTTGTATTACATTTTACTTTGCTCTATTTTTCCCTATGGACTTCTAATAATGTGTCCATAATAAGGTTTGACGATAACACTATCCACCTCCCAGAGCACAGACTCATGGTTTATGAGGGAAACAACCACTAGGCTAGATATAAAGCATTGTGAAATTAACTGTGACTCATTTTGTTCATATATCATCTTGTCTATTACATCCCACTGGAACATGAGGTGAAAACACTGAAGTATTTATTTGGCTACAGGTCAGTTCCAGGCAAAGGTTTCATCACTGGTTGACAAACATTCCACACTTTTCTTTTGATGCCCAACATGTTCAGGAGATCACCAATAAAATAAATGGTTGACCGTAAAACAATGACACAAAATTCTTTTTCTGGTCATGGCAAATGACAAATAGCTGGAAGAAAAAAAGCTGTGGGGAAAACACAGAGCTGAGCATAGTGTTTCACTTAATGGAACAGCAATCAATCTAAATGTGTCCAATTACTTATACAGTCAGATTAAGTATGTAAATTAATTCACATTCTCTATGATACAACCTGACTAAATCAGGATGGGCCTGCTGAAGGTGCAGCAGCCTTCCTGCTTCCTTGGTTTGCTAGATAAACTACCTCTGTTACTCTGCACAGAAAACACATAGATACACTGGTGTTGTAGAGCGTACCCATTGAACACTTCCCCTCAAGTCTCAGAGGAGTCCCTCCATCTCCCTCATAAAGGCTTCGTACACCTGGTCCTTAGTCTTCATGTTGGGCTGGGACACAGCACCCATCTGGGTTGGGGCGCCCGTCGGTGCAGCTGTTGCCTGCTGTTTCTGCCCCTGGCCTCCTCCCATGCCTTCATCTCCCCTCCTTCCTCCAAAAGCACTCCCTGCTTTCTCCACAGGCCCAGCTGCTGCCCCAGGCATGGTGCTGCTTTTGTCCCTACGCACCCTCAGTGCGGTGGGCACAAAGCGGGTGACCTCCGCCTTGGGATTGATAATCTGAGGTTTGGCAGAGATGGTGGCCCCGGGCGTGCAGCGGCTGCCGGGCTGCCTCCTGCGCCTGCCACAGACGTGATGTTGGCTCGTTTTTCTATGGTGGCTGTGTGGTGGTGGCTGGGGGTGTTGCTGCCAGGATTGGTGCCTGTGGAGGCAGCAGCTGTCCCTGGGGGAGGGGGCATTTGCATGACATTTGGTCGCATGGGCATGGGCATGGGCATGGCAGGGGGCGGTAAGCTGCTCTGTGAACCATCCTGGCTGGGCGCTGAGCCTTTTTGCCGCTGGACAATGTTGGGAGGAGCACTGAGCACATTGGAGTTGAGAGGTGGAGGAAAGAGGGACAGTGGTGGGGCAAGTGGACGCGGGGGCCCTCCTGCTCTTGGGGGAGGAGGTGGGATGCCTGTAAGGAGACAACACAGATATATCTGATGGAAAACGTGTCAGGCATTCCTCTTTGCCGCTACAGATACATAAAACATTAAATATGCCTACATATGGTTAATGATGTAGGGAAGCATCTACTTTTAGTTTGTGTTTCACTGGAGCTCAACAGCAGCAGCACATACTGGTTACTGTCTGACACCGGATGATGTCACGTTTGCCATCATATACACACACACACACACACACACACACACACAAGCCCACCTGGGGGTGCCGGGGGTGGCAGTCTGGGAGGGGGTCCTCTCGGTGGGGGGCCTGGTGGGAGGCCAGGAGGGGGGCCTGGTGGAGGGCCAGGAGGTCTACCTGGTGGGGGGCCAGGAGGCAGAAGACGAGGCATTGGACCCCTCATGCCCCCAGGCATACCAGGAGGCCGCAGGAACGGAGGAGCACCTAAAGATAACAGAAGAGATCATCTGAATGATGGAACGTGCACGGGTGGAGAGTGTGAAACCAGCCAATCCTTAAAACAACAGTGTCCAGTTTAGATAAAATGCAGTAAGTGCTGTCACTAACCTGGTGGTGGACCAGGAGGTGGGCCAGAGGGGGGGCCAGGAGGCCTCATTGGAGGAGCTGGGGGTGGCCCCAGTGGTGGAGGCCCAGTCATTGGTGGACCCTGCAAGTGTGGAGGCCCTTGCTGTCCCCCTGGCCCAGCAGGAGGGGGTAGACGCTGAGTGGCCATGAGGTGGGACTGGTGGTCCCCTGGCGGTCCCCTGTCCTCGATGTCCGAGCTGTCTGACTCATCTGTGTATTCCTCCTCAACTTCCTCTTCCTCTTCCTCCTCAGGAACTGACTGACCTAAGCACATTTAGGGCAACACCATGCAATGTCAATAAAATATAATGTCTTATTCAGTATGCAGCAGGGACACTAGTATATTCTAGTACCTGCCATCCTTAACATCATGGCCTGCAGAGGGGTAATGGCCTTGCTCTTCTTCACCAGCCTCTTTTTCTTCCTTTTTACTTCAAGCGGTGCCTCTGCAGGTATATCTGCAAAACGCACACTGCGACCTGAAGCAGACAAACACATTCATCAAATGAATATATCAGTGCAACAATACAAACTCTAATCTGTTCTAATCCTTCAGAAAATCCACTGAGGCTGTTTATACACCGCACAGTGCCAAGACAGCTACCGAAGACGTGATTATTTGGAAAATGTACAAGTTAGTTTCCTAAAACTTGTGATGTCATTTTTCCTCCATTTGACCCAAACCCATAATATTTCTGTAAAATAATGTAAAGAACAAAAACCACTAGCAAAAGACAAAGGGCACTGTTTAAGTACTTTAAAAAATATGCTGAAGAAATTCTAGGACACTCACCAGCAGGTCTTTCATTCCTGTCTCTATCCTCCCGTCTTTCCCTCTCATCATCCAGCCTGTCGACACTCATTCTCTGGTCACCGCCCCCCACTTCATCTCGCTCTTCTTCACTGTCCTCCTCAGAGTCGCTGTCGTCGTCGTCCAAATCATCCCGATCTCTGTCACTGTCACTGCCACCGTCCCGATCTCTTCCCAGGTCCATGGCTGAGTCCTTTTCTAAACCAGGAATAGAAGGCTCTGTTGTGGAGGATAAATAAGAACTTTATTTGTTTATTTTATAGAGACATGTGCAGCTAAACAATGTCACACACAGGCAACCAATACAGTGCATATGTGGGGTGTATATCTAAGAGCTAATTTGCAGCCCCCATCTCTAGTAAAGCACGCTCAAACATCCAAGAACAAGAAGCTTAATAGTTAAAATCATCTTAAAATGAACAAGGGCCACAGGCAGAAACATGATCACAGCTACTGAAAAGAGGTATTGTTATTGAAAGGAACATTAGCATTCAGAAATGTGGTCATTAACGGGACAGTTCATGTTACCTGCATCTGTGCTGAAAGCTCGTCGAGAAGGCATGCCATACAGTGCCAGGACCTGTGGAGGTGGGGGCCCAGGTGGGGGGCCAGGGGGCTTCTTTCCAGGAGGTAAACGTGGAACACCTGGCACTGTTACCACCACCGGTCCAGAGGATGACGACAGGGGTCCTTTACTGAGAGATGCATCAAAACAGAATTACCTCAGTGGCACAGTGACAGTCCTCAACATCATCTACCTGCAGAAACCTTTAATGCACACAGGTCAAGGCCTACCCAAAAACTGAGGTCTTCTTTAGGATGGAGGGAGGTTGAGCTCCTGGTAGAGGGATGTCCTGGATGTGGATACTGGAGGGGGCATGAGGCATATCTGGTAAAGGGATACTGTCAACCTCCACGGACTCTGCATTCTGAAAAATAAGACATAAAACATGATGGTAACCAGGGAGTCAACACAAAGCCCATGCAATGTAGAGGAACTGGAATATCAAGTGCTGAAGCTCAATGCACTTCATGCAGAGTTCAGCAAACAAGACACAAGCCTGCAACCAAAATCATTTTTAGGTTCATATATCTGAACTAGCTTTGTGAAAAAATACATCCTGTATCCCCTGACTCATAAAGTCATTGACAAGTACAGTAAATAAAAAAATGTGCTTTTGCATCCAAACAAATAAACACACCTTGACAGAGTCAAAATAGAGAGCCAATTGCCCTCGTTTGGTCTCATAGTCCAGCTCCAGTTTGCGTAGCTCCTTGTAGGTGTCAGGATTCTCTCTCTCATACAGATGGACGATGCGTTCAAATGTCTCACGTAGCTTCTTCCTCTTGTCCCTCAACACCTTCTCATTCAGCAGGGGCTGCTGAACGGGGTTGAACTCTGTTGAAAGTTATACAGGAAAACCCCACTTTCACTTGTGAAAGGTAGAAAATTATTAATTTCTGAACTAGATGAATGAGAATATGCAACTTGCTTCAAAAGTAAGACTATCCTCAGATTACATGAGTAATATGACTGAGTGAGCACAGTAACATTTGCACAACCACAAACCCATTCTGAACCACACAACTGCCAGTTCAACAGGAACATCGCCCCTCACCCATCTCATCCAGCTTCTCCATGTCTCTGATGATCTGTCTAGGGTCCTTCATCTTCAGCACCGCCGCTCTCACCATCATTCTCTGCTTTTTGTTCTAACAGGACCATTGACAACAAATACATAATGTTATCAACACAATAATAATGTGACTGATGTATTTAAGATGTGCAATACATTGGAATCTGATGTGTAAAGACCACTAGTACCTTTTTCAACTCCCTTTTCCTGGCTTCCTTTCCTGTAAGAACAAGTGCACACTGTCATCGTTCAGACATCTGATAACAACACAGGTAAATCATCGGGTGTTACCCAGGAGGTCCGTGCCACAGGAGTCGGTACTTACTGGCCTGGTCGGTGGGGTTCATAAACTTCCCACTCTTCGTGGAGGAGGTCGAACGCCGCCCCATTTTACCGGTGTCTCTCTTTCGACCTGTAGTATTAGAGTATGAAAATCCCATCGGAGATGACAAATGAAATTAGATTAACATCACTGTTCGCCGTTAACGTGCACAGCTGTAACGTTACATCTTTATTTCACAAACAACTAAGCACGTCCCTGGAAGGTGTTTCACAGCCGCTCCACTTAGTAAGCGCTTTTACCCACATCAGTTAAAAAGCCGTTGATACACAAAGTTGGCGATTTGGTAAAGTTATGGTAAAATTCTAGTTATCTGAGAATGCAACGTCAAAATACTAACACTACGATAATAAAAATACACACCGCTGCACGTCTATGGCACTTAAGGGCTAACGTTGGCTATGCTAGCTAACAACTGACAGTTGCATTACTATTAAATAAGCTAAATCAAACTAAAATTTCTCTCTTGTCAGGCTGCGGACCTTTTAATTAGCCGAGAAACACGATAAAGCCAGTAAACCCGTCTAAATATCAGCTGGTCATGCAGCATTTGGCTGCCAAGTTAGCCGCTAACGTTAGCTTAGCTTACACTTGTGGTTAGGGCCATGTTAGCATCGACAATAGCACAAGAGGCAGAATTTGACTTTACCTTTTAGTCAAGTAAAACATGTAGAGCGCAGCGCCCTACAGTTGCACAACTGGGTGCTAAAAGTATAGTAAAACGTATTGTTTACGCCCTGCAAACAAAATCAGAAGCCGTCAAATATGAATGCAGACAACGATTCATTAGCCGTTCGCCATGTTTGCTGCCGCGAGCAAGACCGGAAACGGCGATTAAAAAGTCATCAAAACAAGCTACAAGCTACAAGCATTCGGATGCATGTGTTACGGTGGACGCGAGGTTTTTCTGAATAAAAAGGTTATTCCTATTTTGAATCTTGACTGATTATATTTGTCCCGCTAGACACTTTATTGTACATATTGTTAGAGTTTACCCAAATTCTTTTATTGAAAGCGCCTGAAGTGAAGACAGGAGAGGGCAGTTTAAAATCAACTGGAAGTTTACTCAAAGTCTGGGCACAGTGAAGTCATGGACCTGTGTATGTTCTTTGTGACCACTGATTTTGTTAACACAGTGTATTTTCATAAGACGTGAAAATTTTTCATTGTCTTCACCACTTTTTTAAGGTTTGGGAAATACCCTAGGGTCAGTTAAAACACACTCAAATAAAAAGTAGCTAACCTACGATGTCAGACACAAACAACCACTGGCTGCATGAAAGTCGGGTGTTTGTTTGTCAGATGTCCTGTCTGACAAAATCCTACTCAAATCCTAATAAAGCCATAATATCAACACACCAAAACTCACTTGACCACCTATCTCTTAGGCCTATAATGTTCTTGTCAGAGGTTTACCACAAAGTTTGAAAAACAAACCCCTCTGTTCCAGCAGAGTCTGATCACGTTGATGCATACGTGACCTGCCTGAAGAAACCTGCCTACATGTCACATCTTTATAAACCACTGTTTGTTTCAGTAAAACAGCCCCTGATTCCTGCAGCAGCCACTGAGCACAGGTACTACTACTACCTCTACTACTACTACTATTACTTTTTCTTATTAAAAATACTACTAATAACAGTATCTATCAAATGGTGCACTGCGTTATAGTGTTTTTTAAAATAAAAATCATTTTTAGAAAACAAGACAGATACAAGTTATAGAACAGACCAGTTTCTACTTAGATATTAAATTGTGCAACATTAATTATTGTTTTTATCACTAATACTGTTGTTGTTGATTTAACAGTATTTTAATTAACCCAGACCAGAGAAGCACAGAAGCATTATATTTTATTTATAATATATACATATTATTTACATGTATCATATTGCCTTTATTATATGTCTTTATTATCATGCCACATATACAGTGCTTATGTTAATTAATTACTTATGCATAAAATAGAGGATATGTATATGAAACTCAGTGAGTTGGGTGTAAAATAAAACTTTATGAAATGTCAATAAAATGTGAGGCAGCCTCTGTGTCAGCTGTAAAAAGCTTCACACACTATTCTAAATTAAAGAAAACGGATGTAAGACTGTGGCAGGATAACCAGCTGATGTTGTTTGTACATATCCACACTACTTTTCTCTTAAAGTTCAATATTTATTCAGACCTATTTTGCTATATTTACTTGGTAAGTACAGATTGTGACAGGGCTGCTGGTCACAGTGGAACGTCTGATTTTTTCAACAGTGCATAAAATCCCTAAGACAAATAATTATAAAGAGGTCAAAGTTTTTCCCTGTCTAAATGTGGAGATTTTCATATTAAGGTTCCCCTCATGCTTTTAGTGATGGAAGTAAAATGCATATCCTGCCTTCATTGTATATGGTGCTTTTTCCCCTGAACCCCTGGTGAAGAGTGTAACGTATTGCCTGCTGAGACACCACAGCTAATTTATGTAAACTATACCAGACTGAAATAAAGCTTACTATTTCTAATAAAGTATTTTAACTTAATGATACTGTAACTGTATCTGTATCTGCATGTGTTGTAGTCATGGCGTTCCCTCGGCCGCTGGCCTCAATGCTGTTGGCTTCACTCATCCTTCTTCTCTACTGGACAACCTCCTCTGCTCGGTCACATGACCCCACCTCCTCCAACCTCTCGGCTTTGTACAGGATGAAGAGAGACCTGCCGCCAAGAACCAAAGAGACCAGATAATGTAGCTCTGAATACTTCCTCTTTTGTTTCCCTGTCACATCTGTCTCTGTAGTTTGGCTTATTGATGACATCTGACATTGATGGTGTTGAGAATCTCCTCCAGTTTGGCCTCCATCACTTTCAGTTTGGTGCTGATGGTGCTGATATCAGGCACAGATTGATGGTTATCAGTTGCTATATCTTTGCTGATGATGATGTTGTTTTCACATCTGTCTCCATAGAAACCATCAGGACACTCGCACAGCCACTCATTGGAATCCAACAGCTTCTTGCATGTCCCACTATTCTCACATGGATTTGTAGTGCAGACAGGCAAAGTCCTGGAGTAATATATGTAACGCTTACCGGTATTTTTATACCCATCCCATTCACAATTTAATTTAATGAAGGGTGGAGGGAAAACAATGTTTTCCCCATAGGTCACATGTGTCGCTTTGGCATTTTTTCTAAAGCTCATAGAGTCGTGGTGTCGCCAACCAGGGCTCGCATCTCGAATTTCCGTATAAGAACATCCAACTAATGCGTCATGAATGCGACAATCTTCATTCTCAAAGCATTTTATGGCTGCTTGTCTAATTTCTTCTTCAAATTCAAAATCTGCTTTCCGAGTGTGGCCCACAGCGACAGTGATTGTGCCCACAGGGATCTTGATCATATCAAAAATCAGATAATTGTCTCGATCATTTTCATTGTACACCAGCACCACCCAGTCGTACCAGTTGTACTTCTGATCCAGAGCCTTTTTCACCTGATGAGTGATGGCTTGTTTGTCGTCAGGTCTGAGTTTTGTGGCGATCTCCTTCACGTCTTCCTTCATGTACTGCTCACTGTTGTTCAGACAGTAGTATATTGCTGACACCTGAGCTTTGTAGACATTCTTGAACATCTGAGTTTGTTCATCTTCTTTCCCTGATGGGTTAAACCCGATCAGGTTCCAGTAGAGCTGGTTGAGTATCATCCCCTTCAACAGCAAGCTGCTAAAATATAAGTTATATTTGCTAATGTCTGCGATGTCACATTTAAACTTCTTATTCAGCAGCTCGTTGATGTTTCCACTGAGAGATGTGCTGCTGACCGTCAGGTAATGATAGAGGTTGGCCACACTGGCCTCAGCTCCTGTGTTTTCCTAGTA